GCTAAAGGTGACATAGATACTTTATTATGGTATAGTATTTAAATGTATGCCTGCGAAACACATAATATTGCCCCTTTTAAAGGGCATGTTAACCAGAGCTGAGCTGATGCTCGTCTTCCTGCCTGCCTTGCTGCTCCGGTGCTGACAGGCCCGAGTGATGCTCTGCACKGCTTCAGCCCTGCCGACACACAGAAACAGGGAGCAGCTTGATGACCTCGCTGCTGTGGCTCAAGCACACTACATGCAGCTCCCTCACTACTCCCACCTGTCAGGCCCATTGTTCCTGTAAGCTGGGACAGRACTGGATCTGCTGCRTGTTGGATTTTTATACCAACATGCCAATGGTGTTCAAATACTGAGGTGGAGATGTGAAAACAGTCGTGACGTTTATCAGTTGTTCTGCAGGCCCTGGACTGTGCTGCTCTTTATGCTGAATGCACTTTTCTTATTGTTTACTATTCATTGACCCGTTTCACTGTAATTCAAACCATCTCCTCGCTGAGCATTGTGTCCTTTGTTTGATAGTAGGTGTGTAAAATAAATAAGCAGATTGAATGACGGTCTGCACCGTAGTCAGCGTCATGTTTGTGATTTCTAAAACACTGAAAAACCAAAGTCTTTTCAGTACACAAGGTCAGAGTGAATCATCAGTATGTCTAGCATTTTGTTATTGTTTAATTTGAACTAGCAATAATTTACAGCCGGACGACAGCAGGTACAGAGCATRATTAACAGCACAGTGTGAAGTGAAAGTCTGAGCTATGATTCTAATTCACTCCCACAAACAGTTGTAAGGTTCTGCAGYTCAGATGAACATCCATTAAGGGTTACTCACACGGGTTTTCCCTAATTATTTTTTTATTTTAAAAAAATGTCCTTGTAAACATAAAAGGTTTTCTGAGTGTGTTTCTTCCCATTGAAATTGAAAATGACCTAAACATTGTAGTATACTAGGCCCAAATTCACAAAAAAATCCAATCCAATGCTATTACACAATACTGTGGAAATTATACATCTTGCGTGTCTGCTTTAATACTAAGCAGTGGTTTTGGTTTGCCACATTATTCTTATTTTCATAATGGAGAMGAAGGGAGAGATCACTGGGCAGCAGTAACAGGAAAAGCAAGTCTCTTCCCTACAATGGAGCACTTTGAGCAACGCGGAGCCCGGCAGCGGTCACAAGAACAGTCTAGCTGCTGAACGCTGTGAAAATGTGACCAATCCAAGTGTCAGTAACCAAACATGAGATCATGAATCAAAAGTACAGTGAGGTTAACAGCTACAGACAAAGAGCAAGAAGGCCCTGCAGGAGCAGGGGCTGGRTTCGTTAGAAAACCTGATATTTTTTTAAATATCTTGTTTATAAAATGATGATCAGTTTTCCGATTGTTCTTCAGTATTTCCTGGTATCTAATGAAGTGATTTATGTCATATTAGAGCTGTAGTARTACATTAAAAAAACATGAATCAATATGTTTTGCCAGTGTTGTGTGCAGATCAAAGTCTTCTGTTTGTTACCTCCTTATAACTGCCCCAGGCTGGAGAGGGACAGATGGGTACAAGCTTCTCAGCACTAATGATGAGGATTTGTGTTTACCCCTTCATGCAACTTTCAGAGTGTTCATGGCGATATGTTRTTGTTGACTGTGTGTTAAAGATGCACATATTTACTGCTGATGACTTTTGATATGTGTAGAGCCTGTAGTCACAAACGGAACACGAGCTAATGGCAGAAAACTCAGCTTTTTGAGACCTTTACGGTGTCCTTTTGTGAGTGTCCTGCATGACTCACACTTTTTGACTGTTTTTTTTTTTTAAATTCACTGTTAAAATGCAGAGTACGGGTTTCAGCCAGAAGTGGCTCTCTAGATGAGTCAAAATGTGCAGCTGCCCCTGAAATATTAATTCAGTTACCAAATCTGATCAAAACCAACATTAAGAGGTTTGTATTTCTGTTTAAATTAAGTAATGATGAGCAATATATCTGTAGAGAGCATGTTTAATCTTTTTTTATGTCTTTGGTTGAAGCATCCTAGCCTGKTGATGAGTCCTTCATATTCACCTTCCATGGGGCAATAAGAGCCAGGAGCTAAAATCTGCAGCTGGRGAGAGTTAAACATTTGGCCCTTAGAGCTCACTGCAGTGGGTTGGACTGAGTGATTGACAAGATGGATACCTCCCTGCCTGAGGCTCACAGGCTGTCAAGATTTTATAGAGAAACAACATGTATTATTTAGGGGATGTCTTCAGTTTCTGTTACTTAATTTAGCTTTATTTGTGACTGATTAAAACAGCATTTTTACCAAACTAACTGGTTACATTTACTTGTTAAYGGTTGTTTTGATCGGGCTGGTTGCAGAGCATGAAAGTGATCATTGTCTGTTTTTCCTGCAGTGTTCAGATAATCATGCTCCTGTCCTCGTCTCCCCTCTCTCCTGCAGGCTGTGTTTCTGCTTCTCCTTGTTTGTCATGTTGTGGCCTGTAAATACATGTGATGTTTATTACATAGGCTGCAGCACATTATCATCCTTTTTTTTGCCTGATCACTGTTACTTTTTCCACTGCTTGGAATCCCCCCTGACCGGCACATCAAAATGTGGGTGGGAAAGGTGAAGCACCCACTCCTGTCTCCACCCTCATATGCCCCACACTCCTTAAGGGCCCTTGAGCAAGGCCCTTAACCTAGAGGCCCTGGCTGGGATTTAATCTGGCAACCTTCTCACTGAAAGGCAACCGCTCCATCAAATGTGCCCCTTTGGATAAAAATAAATTATTTTCCCAGCAGTGTCACTATTAACCCTCTAAGGTCCAAGCCATCGATGTGACATTTAAGGACTAATGCTACAAAAATGGCAGCATGCTGAGTGTTCATTTCAACTGGGTTGGACAGCACAGACTTCAAACTCTACAAAAGCAGTGTTTGTATATTGTTTTTGTTTTTTATTTACTTCCAAATAAAGCCAGAATTATGATAAATAATTTTTGCAATAATTTCGTGAACATTTTTTGTGCATTTGTTGTGCATTCAGTGAACGTTTTACGACCAGAAGTGCTTGAATGCAACATGACACCCATTTTTCTGATTTCCTGAAATGCACCACATTTCCAAAGCAACCAATAAAAATGTYTGTAAGCTTGTGGAGAACGTGAGAGTGTTTTGGAGATGGGGGAACGGAGTTTAGTTAACATTTTGGTTGTGCTGAAAATAATAATACCTAACAACGCAATGTAAATAGATTTTAAGATGAAAAGATACGGGTAAATTCAAAATTAGCCAAAATGGCTATTTACTGTAGACCCCATCTGCTTCATGCAGAGTTATTTCTCCTAATTTTATCATTCATTTAGTTTTATTTTGTTAGTCTTGTTTATATAAATCCCTCATCTGATGCAGTGTTATTTAAGCATAAGATCCTGAAAATTTTCTTGTGATATTAACAGAAAAATGATGCATTTGACCAAAAGATAGTGCAAAGAATGCAGATGTAGTTAAATGCATAAACTTGTGCAAAATATTGCTTTACTCAAAAATATGTTTTTAATATTTTTTCTTTATCTATTGCAGGCTTAAAGATTTTTGATCTTACTGGCTCCAGGGTCTACCAGCTACCCACTCACTGAGTGGTGGGGGAYCAGCAGTGAGACTTGGAGACCTTCAACTCTGCATCCCGTCTTCGTCTCCCACCATCCTCAGAACCATGTCTATCCCCAGCAGCAGCCCAGAAAAAGAGAGCTCCGCCGGGTCTCAGTTCGAGTGCYCCTCCTCCCCTCCCGGCATGGACGCAGACCCCCCGTCGACAGGGAGCCCGGTGCTCAGCCCGGACTCGTCCTCTCATGATGCAGTGCTGTCAGCACCAGCAGCATCCCCGGCAGACTCCGAGAACCTGAGTCCCGACGAACTCGAGCTCCTGGCCAAACTGGAGGAGCAGAACAGGTGAGAAAAGCAGCAGCTGACTCTGTAAAAATACCATTTTAATAACATATATAATATACTGGCACAGTAGAAAGTACTGTATGTTTCATCAAAATATGAAATGCACGTTTTTAATCATCATTCCCACTTAATAGTTTCCACATATCTGTCACAGGTTTATATTWGACAAAATGCAGCGTCACTTTACTACAATTGTCTATTAGTAGATGTGTAGAAGTCAGAGGCTTGCCAGGCTAAGTAACAGTTGCTGTGCTGTGACTAGAAAATGACTGTTTTAATGCTGGYTTACTGAACAGGCCGGTAATTAGTAAGGAGCTGCTCGTAAAGTTGGATGTTATTCAGCTGAAACCTGGTGCTTTTCTCACTTTATTTAATGATGAACAAATAGAGAGACATATATGCAGACGTGAACATGGGCAAGAATATTTTTTCTGCTTGTGCAAGAAAAATAATTAAAAATTGAAMCTTTTTATTTGGCTGATTCTGACTSCTAATGACAATACATCCAGACCAGTTGTGTTGTTTTTCATATTTCATGTATTTATTCTCTACTGTCCTTTGTATTCTGATTTAAGATGGTCTCTATTTGAATGTATAGACATAATGCAGTTATCTGAGGAAAAAAATTTAAGTTGGATTTACGATAGGGAAATTTTTGCATTTGTTGCTTTTGTTTGTAAAGCTTGGGAAAGAAGACAACATGCTCTGTATCCCAGGTGTGTTTCCGATTGTGATGATGATATTTTTGTGGGGCTTGTGGTATGAATGCAGCCATCCTGTTATGTGTTTTTTATGCGTGGAGTGTCTTATAAGCCCATGAGGGCTGGGCACCAGAAGGTGCATGACACGTAAATAAAATCAATTAATCAATCAAAATCAATATAGAAGATCAACCATCTTTGAGGCCTCTAGTGCAGCTTAATGTCACACCTCCTTTCCAGTGACACATGATGATTAGACCAGCCTACCTATCCTCCCCTAATGTCTGGCACAAGACAAACACTGTCGCCACACTCTTCACAAAGTGTTTGTCTGCAGGTTGTTGGAGGCTGACTCTAAGTCGATGCGATCCATGAGCGGTTCACGGCGTAACAGCGGCTCCTCGCTGGTGTCCAGCTCCTCTGCCTCCTCCAACCTGTCACACCTGGAGGAAGACACCTGGATTTTATGGGGCCGAATCGTCAATGAGTGGGAGGAGTGGCGCCGCAAGAAGGACAAACTTCTGAAGGTGAGGGAGACGTAAAAGAAAACAGTCATCGTTTGTGTGTTTTATAGCAGTGTGTGTTAGATCTGTGTTCATTGCTCTGTAGGAAACTTTTCATGACTTCCACCCTTCCACAAAGGACAGATCTATCAGTACACTGCACCAGTACCTTCGTGTCGACACTTTCTGTAAGTTCATGTCACAAAAAGAGCCCAGGGGACGAGAAGATGGATGTGAGAGGAGACAGCAAAAACTAGTCATAGCTAAAAGGAGGGGAAGACAAAACAAACAAAAGAACAAAACGACACTCGTATGATCTGGTCCTCGTGTTTCTGTCCTTCAGGAGCTGATCAGGAAGGGCATCCCTCATCACTTCCGTGCCATCGTCTGGCAGCTGCTGGGCAACGCCACGGACATGCCGGTGAAGAACCAGTACTCCGAGCTGCTGAAGATGTCGTCCCCCTGCGAGAAGCTCATCCGCAGAGACATCGCCCGCACTTACCCCGAGCACGAGTTCTTCAAAGGCCAGGACAGCCTGGGGCAGGAAGTCCTCTTCAACGTCATGAAGGTGAGTGCTGTTAAACCTCACAACAGCTGAGGTAGGCAGGTCTGTGCTGACAACACCTGCAGAAACTTGACTGGTAAAGACACAAAACTGTCACCTGGTGGGTTTTTTTTTATCTTTGTACAGCTAAGTTTATTGTTGCTTCCTCAAATATTCAGTTTTTTACYCCCCTGCTGCAGCAGTGTTGCTGATAAACATGAGGCTGCAGCTATGAACTTCATTCATCAGTGAGCTGTGATTTTCTGTGTTCACGCTGTGTTGCTGTGCACATGCAGGAAAAAGATTTGTGAGGCTCTTGTGTAAATTTGACCAGAAGAAATCTAATATACTGTATCTGGCCTTTCAGTATTCAATATTTTGGCCACAAAATGATAATGGGTAAACTGAGTGTGTGAAGCTTAAAATCTTAAATCCACATTGATCCTGCAAAAAAAGTTAAGAAGTGGTTTTGAAAATCTATTTCTTCTTATCAAAACCTCTGTGTGTAATGTAGCAGAAAAAAGTCACTTTTAAAACCATCCAGAGTAGTAGAGACTTAATGTCATTTTGAAGCTGTCATTATCTCCTGATTTCATCTTGGAACAAAYGGACTGGGACGTGGTGGATTTGTTTTGTCTGTTAACTGTCATGGAAACCAGCCTTCAGAGATCTCTGGAAGCCGAGCTGCTCAGGAAATGAAAGAGCGTCTGCTCACTTCTTCATCTGTTTTCCACGTTGAGAACGTTCAGTCAGGATCGCAGCTGTTTCCGTACAAATACACAACACGGCAAACGTATGTGTGTGCGTTTGTGTTCCAGGCGTACTCCCTGGTGGATCGAGAGGTGGGCTACTGCCAAGGCAGCGCATTCATCGTTGGCCTTCTTCTAATGCAGGTATTGATCCGATGCTTTATTTTGGGAAAACTGACTTTCATACAGATGACCCTTTTTTGTCTTCAGGCTCGGAGCTGTAGTTTAGTCTCATAAGTTTTTTTTAGCTTTATTAAGTCGTCTTAAATGCATAAAGAAAATTGCAGTTGTTGCATTAAACACAGCATGAGCAGGATTTATTATATGAGATATCTAACTCATGCGTCTCCCCTCCACTCAGATGCCAGAGGAGGAGGCGTTTTGTGTTTTTGTGCGTCTCATGCAGGAGTACCGTCTGAGGGAGCTGTTCAAACCCAGCATGGCAGAGCTCGGCCTCTGCATCTACCAGTTTGAATATCTGCTACAGGTAAAAAATAAATAAATAAAAATAAAGTCAATTTGTAGTACAATACTTGTCCACAAGGGTGCAGCAAAATGTGACCTTACATCTTCAACACATTACTTCCCTTTTGGATTTTTCTGTTGGGCCTGTTTTTTTTTTGTTTTTTTTTAAATGCTTTCAGTTTTGTTGTTTGTCGTTTCAGGAGCAGCTTCCAGAGCTGAACGTCCATTTCCGCTCCCAGAGTTTCCACACATCCATGTACGCCTCGTCCTGGTTCCTCACCCTTTTCCTCACCTTCCTCCCTCTCCCTGTCGCCACACGCATCTTTGATATTTTCATGTATGAGGTAGGAAACATTTCACGATTGCTGTCACACACATGCATTGATTTACCACAAAGCACATGTAATGTGCACGACACCCCCCCCCCCCCCCCCCCCCCCCCC